CCACTTACTAGTGTCTGTCACATGGGCTATGTCAACTCAAGCAGATCACAGCGCATGTTTCATTTAGTATCTACAGATACTCTACCAGTCTCCTGCGGCTCTATACATTTTGCAGATCTGGATTACTTTTTCTTTTTCCTGATATCTGTCAAAAAACATTAGGTAGAAACACATCTCTCTGAAAACAAAGTATGTTTCTTACCATCACTGTGATAATGATGAAATTTCACTTCCGAGAAAGGTCAAAGGCAGCTATGTGTAATGCCCATTCTAAAAGTCCTAGATTCCTTATAGTAAAGCTTTCTCTCCTGTCACTTAACATACTCTATGTTCAGGAGCTCTCTTGAGGAAAATGTAGGGTGAAAAGTTGTTTCTCTGGCCATGAATACCCTGTGATTGTCTGTATCACTTCGTCATTGAACCAGAAGTTTCATTTCTTCTGCCAGCTGTTCACCTGCAAGGGAAATCTGTTCACTTTACTCTCCTTTTGTTGTTGTTGTTGATGCATTCTTACTATGTAGGCCAGGCTGCCTCAGCCTCCGCGTACTGGGATTACAGGTATGTACCACCATGCCTGGTAGTTTCTTAGTTCTTGTGCCTAGCACCGAGGAGTGTTGGGAGACTTGGTAGTGGAGAAAGCACTAAACCCAGTAGTCAGCATCACCACAGGCTGTGACCTTTAACTGGCAGTGTGACCTTGGAGAAGTCATAATAAGTGTGTGAAACTTGGGTGTCTTTGTCATGCATGGCAGGATAGTAGCTTGTGCCTTCTCTGACTTGGTGTCTCTGGGAGAATCAAACACAGTCATCCATGTGCAAATACCTTGAATAGTAAGGAGTGAAAGCACTTGACTAGAGTGAAAACCAGTGGTCTTCTTAACACTCTGCAAGGCAGCAAGCTCTTTCTAGCAAGATTTGGAGAAGGACCACACTGGCCGCATAGTGGGCTCTAATGAGGATTTCTCATTATTGCCATTTGGTTTGCTTCTTATTAAATTTAACAATAATGTCCAATTAATTCCATGTCCATTAAAATTTTGAAATAATGATTTCAAAGAATAAATATAAGTGGGTTGCACAGGATACTTCAAAATTGAACAGAAGAGAATTTTGTGATTTAATTGCTTAGAGCTTCTAATGAGGAAAGATCATGAGAATATGTCAGGCTGTAAGAGTGAAGTGTCACCATGCTCAAAGGGATGCATAGTGCTTAGAAGCTCAAAAACGTCCGCATTTGAGTCAAGTGTGGGGTATGGCATTGATCAAGCCATGTTAAACAGAGATCCGAGAGGAGGAGGATTCTTGTGTGTGTACATGCACATTCATGGCTATACGGGTGTGCATGCATGTGTAGGAGCCAGAGGTCAACAGTCAGAGGTAGACAACAATATCTTTGTCTGTCATTCTCAACCTTATTCTTTGAAACAAGGTCCTCACTGAATCCCATGTTTGCTTTTTCAGCTAGGATGGTTGGCCTACAAGATCTTAGTATCCTCTTGTCTCTGCCTCCCAGTGCTGAGTTTACAGACGTATATACCTGCACCTGGCTTTTTAAGTGAATTCTAGGACTAAATTCAGATTCTTGTACTTAGCAGTCTTTTATTGACTGAGCCATTTCCCCAGCCCTGTGGCATGTTTTTGAAGACTCAAATTTACCACGCAAAGACTGATTGTATACACTGAGTGTAGCTGATCAAACTATCCTGACTCTCTTGCCGTCAATTCCTCAATATATGCCTATGTTCAAAAGTAAAATAAGAGAATTAAAGATTCACTTTATATCCCTTATATCCATGAACAGAGTGCATACTTTCCTTTCTCTCTTTGAAATGAATACTGTAGCTTTTTTAGAAAAGCTTTTGTAGAAAAGGCCCCGCTTTTTCATTCGCTTTGCTTCTCATTGCCATCATTTATATCTTTGCTCTACATATATATATATATATATTTTTTTTACATCAACCGGATTTCTTGATGGTGTAGCTCATGTATTCTATTTTGCTTGCAATGGCCCATGTGTATCATACACCATTTAGACTGTCATAGGCTCAGTGCTCTTCAGTTGAAGTGAGTTGTTTAAAAGCAAAGCTGCTGGCGAGGCAGGCCCTCTTCTTACTCAGAGGGAACTGCAATGTGCCAGACTGGAGAAGGTGCTAGAGAAATACAAAGGAAGCCGCCGAGGGATCGCAGGAGTGCCGGCTCTGGCTGCAGTCCAAGTTGAATAATTGCATCCTGTCTATGGAAAGCCCCCTGCAGTTCCAATCAGATAAGACGCTCAGCTCCATTTCTTTCCTAAAGTCTTTACACTGATGAG